CATCATTTCTCGCATCGAGCTAGTCGAATCTTCGCGAATTGAGCTTTCTTGGTTTTCATTATCAACAGATCTTCTCTTTGCAGGCGGTTCACTGTCGACGTCGGCTGACTGTGGCAGTCTCTTCTGGGACTCTCGAGTCGTCGCTTCTGAATCATCCGGATTCAGATGAGATGGATTTTCCAATCCGGCCGAATACCCGATTCGAGGCTTGGCAAAAACCGTCAGGCTTACTCGGGCTGGTGTACACTTGTGCCTGAGTCTCCTATAGGACATTCTTTCCCAGTTTTCCCATTCTGGTTCAATTACCACATCCTCGAATCTTCTCCTAATGCAGATCATCTTGCGGAGAGGGCCCTCTCCGGGATGCATGACTTTCAGTGGACCTAGCATTCGGTCTACGCCTCGGCAAAGAACAAGGTGGGAGACCTCCTTGTCAGGAATCATGGCTGCTACTGCATCGATTATGGGACCATTCTGGATGACTGAAGGCCCTACTCGTTTTGCGAGACGATTTGCTTCCTGCATGATGGTTTCCCATGTTGGGTTGATGAGATCTATTGAAGTCTTTTGACCCAATCTTCTCCTCTTTGTGGGGTGATCATCTCCCAAACTCGTTTCTTCGACTAAGGTCCATTGGGGTCTTTGATGCTCTCGATTTAGACATGCGACTACCTGTCTTGCGAACTTTCTTGGATATCGTTCAGTGAACGACGACAGTTGAATGCTCTTAGACGTTTCAGGATCTCGAACATGTCCTGCAATCTGATGGTGTTCATGATCTCCCTGACAGTAGCGAAAATGCAACATCATGTGTAGTTCTTTGGATGTTGTCAGGACCACAAGTCTTTTCCTTATGGGTTTTCCTGTTTGGGGATGAGAAAGATCTCCCACACTGCACATGTCGAATTTGCTCGGCTTTGCAATTTGGCTCATACGGACAAAACTGGGGTGTCTCAGCATCTTCGAACCGTCAGGTTGTTCTACATGACAATGTTTGTTTCTTCCAACCTGGTATTCGAACAACACTTGAACAAGTGCAATCTGCCAAAGACGTTCCCTTTGTTGGTTCATGGTGTTCTCGAAGGCTTCGATGGATTTGTTCATGTTCAGTGAGGTCCACTTACACCATGGCTTGCACTCAGGACTTACCCAAATGTTTTCCGGTTGTTCGAAGAGAATATGTGCAAACATGTTTTTCCTGTGGTTCTCGTTTCTGAGATCACCTTGCATCAACCCGAAGCGAAAAGCTTTCAGGCCGCGGGCTTGACTTTGACGGACTAGCTCGCTTTGAGAAGAGCAGAATATTTCATACAAGAATGTCGATTCTTTTGCATGCTGTCGAATGACCTGTTGTGCTTGTGAGAACTCTTTACGATACTTACGAACAAGGGTCTGATATGCTGCTCGTGTCTTGGCTTCATCCCAGAGGTCAAAATCTAGTTGAGGCTCTCCAAAATGGTTGATACTGAAACACTCGGCTGTGAGCTTTTGATATTCCGGCTCTTCTAGGTCTCCGGATGCTCTTGCTTGATTACAGTCCAGTTGCTGGGCTGCTCTACCGATGCACTTGCCAGTGTCCTCAGATGATGGACTATCTCCTGGAGTGTGTGTTCCACCGAGTTCATGCGCCCTTGCAGATCGTAGAGCTCCTCTGGGAACGACGGGCTCATTGCCAAGTCCAGTGCTTGAGGATCTGGAGCATAGGTCGGCACAGGTGCTGAATAGGCCTTTGGTTTGGCCTTGGATTTCAGAGCCGTCATGGGACCTTTCGTTTCGGTCGTCTTGGATGATGTAGGTTCCACAGGTGTCTGATGCAGGTAGTACCGATCCTCCGGGCTGAGCTCTTCCTTTTCCATCTTGTCGAGACGGAGTTGCACGTACCGGACGTACATCCGGTGTTCCTTCTTGGTCGAGCTCTCGAATTTGCTCACAACGAATTCGTGTCCACTGAGTGTCGGCAAATGCTTCGGGGAACTTGCATCCCATCTTCGTCTTGCCAAACATGATCACTTGTGTTTCGAGATCGGCCAACGTCATCTCGTCGATCTCGAAATGGTCCTCCTCTTTCTTCTGTTGCTTCTGGAGGCGAAGCAGCTGAGCGGACAGCGCGGACATGATCGGGCTCACAACACGGGTCACCGGGAGCGGCACGGACCGAAGAGCTTGGAGCACAAGACTGAGGTTGATGAACCTCCAACTTGGATTCATGCTTCATGTCATGTGTCGAAAAACCCTCCGAGACGGCTGATGAATTTGCCGACTTGTAAAAATTCTGACTGTCAAACGATTCACGGCCCTTGACTTCAGCTGGCACAGCACGAAATGTTTTCACACATCGATCGGGATTGGTTGGTTCATCGTGGCTTTCCTGCGGAGAACTCTTGGCGATCAAGATGGAATCCGGCTCGCTGCACTGTTTCGAGGTTGGTGACTCCCACAGTTGATTGATGTCCAGTAAGAAAAGGTTCTTACTTGTTTGAGTCATATGCAGGTTTCGGTTCAGGCGTTTTGACCACAATGTTCCTTTTTCGGTGTCGATGACTGCTTGAACATGTTTCAAGAAACTGCTTGACAACAAAAATGGAGTCTTCCCCTCGACAATGGCTATGCGAATGCGGCAAGAGAAGCGCAACTTTGCTCGGTAGAGTTTGGTGGTTTCCAAACTTGAAAATCAAATTGCATTTCGTCTTCCGGGCCTGTCTCTGGATCTCACTAGGTAGATTGTTTAACAATTCGGAAACCTGTTCGCTTCCAATTACCGTTTGTGAGGCACCAAGGTCAACTACTCCTGTAGTTCCTACCGATGCGAACAGGCTCGGAAGTTCTTCAATCGAGTCGGACTTGGATGGGCTGGCTTGAGCACTCACCTCAGGAAGACATGCATCACGGCTCTTCCTGACAGGGATTTGGAGTTTGGCTCGAAGCTTTGTTTTGAACTTCTCTTCAAAGAACTTAACTCTTTGTTCGACTAAACCGAAAACACAAACATGAGTGTCCTCAGGGTGTTCATTGTTCTCGAACGAAATCTCTGGAACTTGGTTGAGGTCGAACGACACGGCTGCGGAGGTAGGGGCTACATAGGCATTCTTTTCGGATCCACTACCTTGGCTCTCTGCAGACTTGCGAACTGGGCATTCTGCACGCCAATGACCTTTCTGATTGCAGTGCCGACAATACGACTCGGCAATGCGTTGTTGAAGGCTGCGGAAACCTTTTGAGCCTTTGAACCCCTTTCCTTTTCCCTTACCTTTGAAACCTTTGGAACTTGATGCACCTTTGCCACCACTCCAAAAGCCTCTGGCCTTCACACGGTCTTGGAGTCTCCGACGGGCATCTTGATACGAAGAAAAATATGCTGACAAATCTTGATCATCTTGAATCACATCTTGTATTGCGGCCTCAAATTGAACAACCAATGCGGCATCGGGATCATCTTGGGCCCATGCTTCAAGATTTTCTTCGTCCAGATATTCCTCATGGAAAGACCAGTCGGGGTCCTCATCGTTGTCCTCTTCGGCTACGAATGCGGTGCTGTCGTAGGTCTTCAGGGATTTTTCCTTTTTCCCTGAAGTCATCTCCTGAAAGAAGGAGGATCCCAGCATCCTCACTGCAGCTTGGACCTTTTGCATGGTCAGAGTTCCACCAGATTCCGCCCCGGCTTCAACCAACACACGCTTTTTGTCCTCCGGGGACAGTCGACTGCCACGCAAAACAATGTAGGCCTGAACTTACCTTCTTCATCAAAACTTCGGTCCAGGTGACGTCACTGCGAGCCAAAAATGAATCCGAACTCTCATCCGGCTTTTGGACACATTTGTAGATGGCCCTTTCGACAATTTCATATTTCTTCTCCAAGTCGATCTGGCCAAATTGTCCTGATACGATCTCAATGATCTTCTCGATGCCACCTTTGTCACCTGTCAAAACCTCAGATTGTCGGAGTTCAAGCTTCTGGAAAGCCGAGCCCTTTGTATTGAGGACTATGCGTGTAGCTAATTCTCTCAATCGGGATTCCGGCCAAGCTTGCAGGATCAATCTGATCTTTTGAGACCACTGCTCAACACTGTCAACACCCGGGTCAAAGGTCGGGACCAGCTGTGCCAATTGCGACGTCAGAGATTGCGTCGTCTCGGAACTAGCGGTAGCCATCCCACAGTCGACCGGGCTCCGCTACCAATCACAAAAGGATTGGTAGCTTCCTCGCCCACGAGGTTCAACCAAAACTGGTTGGAGACCACTCCAATGAAGACAAGGTTCACCTTTCAATGTACCTCAACAACCAATGGTGTCCACACCAAAAGAATAGGGTGTCCTCACCCTCGAAATTCGGTTGCTCTTATCCACAAGAGCCCAAGTCCACCTCGCAGCCTTTTCCTCAGACCATGGCACAAGCGAATCCTCACCACACCCGCCCTCGCTCGAGAGATGCGACAGCGGAACATCGGAAAAATCGAAAAGGGCAACATGCGACCTGGTTCATTTCGACAATATATAATATATAAATATATATATATATATACACTGTATTTGGGTATATAACCACAATTGATCTGATCGAACCCCCTGCCAGCTCCAAAGGACACATAAACTCTGCTTCTTAGACCAGCGTGAAATCCAGCCGTCCATGTCGTTATTGGTTTTGCGGGAGGGGAAATACACAGGCCAATTCACTTGAATGTGTATATACTTTAAGACAGCCCCAAGACTATGTTCCTGTATTCTCCTGTCCAAAGCCACGTGATTTCAGCTTTTCTTTAGATTCTTAGTCGGAGTGTAGACTTTACCAAAGAAGTTTGGGAGAACTACTGCAGTGCATCGCCTATGTCATCATCTTCGATGTGTTGTCTTACTTTGCAGGCATTGCTCGGTACCAAATGGCATGGGCACAATAAGGTTAAATGTGACTGCCTATCCACGCCCCTGTGCATGTCATACCCACCTACGTTGTCTAGACCTGCTGCCTAAACCTGGTCTGCAAGTCAGCTCAAGCTTTGCTGCGGGCCGGACAAGTAGGCTTGCTTCGCGATGCAGGTTGTCTGCAGGTCAATGCTTCGATCAGCAGCATCTCAAGTCCGCCAGGCAAAAAACATCTTTCTGTCCTGACTGAGGTGCTCTTCTACATAGCATGATGTATTTTGAGAGGCAGAATTGTACTAGCAGGACCCACCCGCTCCCCTCGCGTGCCCGACCAACCAACCCACCAACCCAAAGACCCTTCTGGTCCACCCGGCACCCTCTCGCAAAGCCGGTGGGAGGGAGAGTACGAAAGGCTTCCAGCCGCAAGTGCTTTGAGCCAGCTGTTCTTGAAGTTGGGCTGGTAGACCTCGCAGCTATTGTTTTTGCTCGGCAAAAAGCGTATTCGACAGTTGCGAGGGGTTTCTGGGGGGTGCTTATGCATGGTGTGTTTCTTCATTTTTGCCGGCCTCGCGGCTCGTTCGCAGGCGGCAAAGGAAGGGGTAGGGGATGTGAGCCGTCTGAACGAAATAGGTACCTGAAGCAACACATGTTTCTTTGGCGAGTGTTGGATTGACAAAAGAGCAACATCCTGTGGCCTTCGTGGAAAGTGGGTCTGGTTTGTGACCTGAACTAGGACCTTATAGTCGAACTAGTAGAACTAGGGTTCTTCAACCTCTGTAGATCAGGGGCCGTAGATCAGTGGCGCATGGGTGCGGACACATGTGTTCTACAGGATACCGTCGGATAATTATATACAATGATCTAGAACAGGATCGCTGCTAATCAAGAAATGGGGATCTATTTGGTAGGCCTTTGTGTCATTCTGTCAGGAACACAGAACACATGACAAAACCCAGGCTTGGATTGTTGGTGGCCTGCACCCTTCAGTTTCAGGTCTCCTTTACTGAAGGATCTTCAGCTGTTCCAAAGGGCTGCTAACACTGATCATGGGCACCCCGTGGCCCCAATCGCCCAACGTCCAACGTCCAACGGTGGCGCACGACGACGTCGCACGCCTCAGGCGCCTCAAAACCCGCATCAAATGGACAACATGACTGTAACATGACTCAAATCTAGGTTGAAACCAAACTCCCTGAGGCGCTCCGAGTGACCCGGCTCCCTGCTTCTTTTTCATCGGGAACATGGGGATGGAATTTGGCTTACAACCCAACAAGCATCTCCCAGCAATCACTCCCAGCATCTGCAGCGTCCACACGTCGCCTTCGTTTCGGAAAAACCGCACAGGTTCCCGCACCGTGCAACAGGCGATGTGACACCCGGTGGAGGCCATCGATTCCACGATGCGTCGGTACTTGCGGGAGACCTCCCGGACGCGATCGGCGGGGCGATCTGGGCGATTGGAAGACAGCCACCAAGTGGGGTCGACGAAAGGTTTGAGTCACCAATATATGGGGATCCCCCTTGTGGAGGTATCTGGGGTGAGGGATTTGATTTCATAAAGAAAAGTCATATATGGGGTTTAAGTTGGAAGGCCCAAAAATAATGTACCAGCAGCGGCCTAGAAATGCAGCGCTCCGTCGCATCACCTGTCGTGCTTATGTCGTGCTCACTGCCCCACAAGCAGCATTTTTACTCCTCCCTCACCATGCCTGCCATGCCTCACCAGAACGATGCCTTCACCCAAACCGGTCACATGTGCTGAAGCAATGCAAGCTCCCATGCAATACCTATCCCAAACACTCCACGGGACTGACATCATACACATAGGAGCGGTTGATTTCAGGGGTGCATGAGTATAAAATAGGTCAATGTGCCAGTCCCACGGAGTGCCAGGCACTATCGCTACTTACTTCCGCTAAATGAACTCACATCATTTCAACCAGGAACGGGAACAACCAGCAATGGGCCCATGCCAGGTACCAGATATTCACAGACCTATTGGTGCCCGCTTTTTTCATCAACCAACCAAGGAGAAAAGGCCGTCTCTCTCTCTCTCTCTCTCTCTCTCTTTGCAGGACCTTCCTAGTGACCTCTTTGTAGTCCCTGTTTGCGACCTGTTTACAGGCCTCAGGCCATGACCGAAACCAAGCTATCATGTCATCAATCGGCCTGTTTTCTACCTCGTTTCAACGTGCCACGGCCGTGCCACGCCACCGCCTCTTGGAGTCCTTCGGTGAGCGCTTGGTACAAGGAGCTCACCGAGAACTCTGAGGAGGCCACCTGACGGATCCCACGCCATCCGCAACGGATGAGGCAACGATGGCTTTGGGTGTCAGGTCAGGTGTGCTTGGTAAACATTGACACCCCAAAAAAGTCACCAACTGGATTTAGGCCAAGCATTTCTGAATTCCGCTTTTCACAGCGTCGACAGCTGCAGCCTTAAGGGTCATCGCCGAGGCAGAATCAAATGCATTCTTACGTGTAGGAGGCAAATGCAGAATGAGAGGGTTGTCGTGGGAAGACTAAACACTTGCCACAGTCTCCAGTCTAAAGTGCTTGACATTCATTTTACTCACTCCCCCTTAAGAGGCAATGATTCCTTTGTCCAAGCCACCGACTGTGAGGGGGGGAACGAGTAAGAATGCCTGAGTAACAAGCAAGATTACCTAACATAAGTAACGGGTAAAAAAAAACCTACGCAAACAAACAAACATAACAATGATGAACTTATATATAGCGTCAAAAACAAAAAACATGCAAAAGTGAAGCATCAACATCAAGTGAGTTTTTCGTAAAACAATATGATTCAAGCCCTGGTGTAGGGTGTTCATCACCACTATGCGAGTTCCTAGAACCAGTAGTGAATGGATCCTTACTTAATTGAGCATTGACACCAAAAGGACAAGAACGCCTCAGCACGGACAAACACAAGCACAAGCAAGCCAGATAGTATAGGCAGACATTTTTGGCCCAAGAAGTAGTTCTAGAGATACCAAATGTGATGAATATGTAGTCGCCCAGTCACCACGTCCGAGTGCGGCCCAGAACTGGCTCTGGACCTGCACCCCAACTCTTGCCACCTGGCACTCCTTCGGGGAATCCGCCAATGCGCCGGACCCGCCGGTCCCGGCGCCGCCGGCGCCGGGCGCCTCGTTGAGGAGTCGAAGCAAATCGTTGCCACTGGCCGAGAGGACCAGGTGCGTGGCGTCGTCGGGGATGATCTGAGGACGCAGGACGTGAGACATGGAGGAAGACATGCACCAGGAGACATGACCAGGAGGTGTGAGTAAGACTCTTGTGTAGTCATCTTGAACATCGGAATTTCCAAGAGTCATCTTGGATGAAGATCTTTGGGTTCGACCAGCGGACAAGGTCACTTCGACGAAACCAACCACGGGGCACCCATTTCGACCCACCCCCCCGCGGGCGTTCCGGAGGGTCGTTCGACCTGCACCGACCCCCAAGCACTGAAACTTATAGGTGATTGGGAGCCAGGGCCTGGAAAGATCTATGGTGGTAGGCCGGGGGGAAGGTTCTTTTCGTAGCTTAGTGCAAGAGATCATATATTATTATCATCATATTGTACATCCAGTGTGTACTGTCGAAAGCAGAAATCCGGGAGAAAAAACCATCTGATCATGTTGCGAAATCTACTAACAGTCAGTCACGGAATTGGCTGGTTCCCAGCGTTCCATGTTGAGGCACAGCAGGTCCATGGGACAAGGAGATGGAGACCAAATGAAGTGATGAGCTTGGCAGTTTTCAATCAGCGAAAGCAGCTCAAGTTCAGGTGTAGTGAACTTCCTCTGAAATGCTTGGGGCCTGTGGAGATATACCTCGAGCGTGGATCTCCCTTTTGGAGAAAAACGAGGGGGCTCATGGTTCATGTACCTATTGCTTGTCCACTGTACATGAGTCTCCCCTCTATAAATCAACCAACCAAGGCTGTAAAAGGCAATGACCAGCACCCTGGACCTCTGACTAGGCTGCAGACGGGCACTTGACGAATGGCCACCTGGCATATGGACCGTTTACGGCGGACGGACTGCTTCGAAAAACACACACACACACACACTGCTCTCAAGCTCTGAACCTTTGAGTGTCCTATTCAACAGTGTAAACAGTTTGACTCCCATATCATCCCCAAAAGCACGATCATGCCATATCCATATAATATAGTATGTATATTATATATAGTAAATATTATATATATAATCCGAAGTGGGGCAGTGTTGTGTGCATCAAAATTAGCAATGCAAAGCTTGGACATATATTGGTTCCGGCATGTAGTTTCAATTCTGCCCTTCATTATCACACCGTACTCACAAAACAAGACGTATGTTTCTGGTTTGAGAACATCTCTCTCTCTCTCGATCTCTAGTGGAAGAACAGTTCAGCAGCGGGAATCCATTGCAGGAATTCGTTCTGATTCCGAATCGACAAGGCCAACTCACATGACCAAAAGGACAATTCATGCCCTAAAATTGGGGGGGGGATCTTATATAAACACCATGGCTGCCCTGCCACCCCTCCTGAACCGTCTGAACCCAAACCACACAAATGTCGATGTGAAATCCGGTCGCCCTGGTGGAGCCCTCAAAATGAAGAAATACAAAGCAGTTGATCCTTTCTTCTGTTCCCTTAGACCCTCGCTTTCTGGTGCTGGCCACTCGCTCACGACCCATCGGGGATGGGGTTTTCACGGGTTTTCCGGTATGGGTAAACGGTACGGCTTTAGGCCAAAGGAAGCGAGGAAGCTCCAGAAAGGGAGGTATGTTGGGTCGGTCTATCCCATTACCCAGTAACAATGGGGGTTTAATATGGTTTAACAATGATGGTTAGATGGTTAGATAAACAATGATGTTCTTGTTCACCGACTGTTACAGGTAATAGAAGACCCAAGATGCATGCCTCACCCATGGTTGGTTTATGGGTGAGGCAAACCGAATTTTTGTGACCCATACAAGGGTTTTGTATGGTTTTGTTCCATTGGAGTTGTGGCATTTGCCTACACACTCCAATGCATCAACTTGGTGGAGGGATCGACTCCCTGGGTTCGGATTGACCAGTCGGGTGTCTCTCGGTGGTCACTCCCCACTGCATGAAGCGGTGGTCACTCCCCACTGCATGAAGCGGTGGTCACGGTCCAGCCCAAGACTTCGCTGTTCATTGAACCCAACAAAAACACCTGGAGAGCCCCGAGAGCACACCTGCATCGTACCCATGCACATGGGGTTCTCGCTTGTTGCTTTTTTTTTTTTTTTCGGTGGATGTTCACGATCCACCTTGGCAGTCACGGCATGAGCGAAGAGTTCCAGCGAAGCATGCCTATCATGTCGACTGCGCCAGGCTGTGGCACTCTTCAGGCTATGAAGGTCAAAGTCTGGTGCTTGGAGGGTGCCATCTTGCCAAGCAGCGTGCAGACTTTGAGCTCTGGGGAGCAGTTTCACCAGCGATTGGAAGGCGACACCCTCCAAGCTCCGATTAAAATCCCCACCGAAGGTCAAAGTCTGCACGATGCTTGGCAAGATGACACGTTCAAGCTCTGGTCAGAAAGCTCACCAGCTTGGTTAAAAGGCTGCAAGCTGCCTGGCAAGATGACACTTTCCAAGCTCTTGTTGAACCACTGGACAATCAAAGTCTACAGACTGCTCGGTGCTCGGTGGCACCCTTTCAAGCTCTGGTTGAACTATACCTAATGGCCGACAGTCAAAATCTCCAGGCTACTTGGAGGGTGTCACCTTGCGATTGGAAGGTGACACCCTCCAAGCTCTGTCAAACTCAGCAACGGTCAGAGTCTGCACGCTGCTTGGGAAGGTTACACTTGCAGGCTGCTCCAGTTCATAATCAATGGCGTTCCAAGGTCAAGTCTTCAACGGCCGGCGCGCCCGTCGGAGGGCCGACGTCGCAGTCGCTGCAGCCAGTGCACAAACCTGTCGAGTTTGATGTAGATGACTCTAGGATGAGCACTTCGCGGCCTGCAAAGGCTCGGAGGAGTCCTCCAGGATTTGTGAGAAAAGAGAAGAAGCTTTCGACTAGCCTTCATGCATCTTCATGCCCAATTCGCGGCCTGCGATCGTGAAAGCGAGAGGTTACTCACCGAGCATGAGACGGAGTCTCGAGTGATATGGAGAAACATGTGGCCTTAGCTCCGCTGTCCACCAAAGTTCTGGGAATGTGAGGCAAGTTCCTGTCAAACCTGAGAAACTCCAAACACAGGTTCGTACAAGTTAGCTCACGTTGATGAACAGTTCTCTTGATCCAAAGGCGGGTGAACGAAAGGTAGGTAGGCAAGGAGCCCTTCACTCGCTTTCACCTCCTCCAAGCTGATCCGCTCCAATCAGCCCAGCATGGGCTAATCCAGCCGCGGCTCATGCGCTCATATTGAGCCGTTCCGCATTCGGGCGACGTTGGAGCCAGACGCAGACGTCGTGGGCTCGAACGAACGGGACGCCCGAGAAGGACGAAGGTGAAGCGTGGATCGGCCGGCGCACTGAGAAGGTGCCACCAAAAACCACATCCAAGAGTTGGGCTTTGGTGACGAGGGGATAGGAGTTTGACAGTTGGTCTGAAGGGTGCTGTGCACTGGCTCGGGGCTGTCTATGAATGATCTGGCACCTCTAATTAACAGGCCTGCAATGTGTAGAGGATTTCATGGTGATTAGGGGGTTCATGTTCTGCTATGATTCTTGGCACAGATTCTCTTCAGAACTGCAGTCATCTCACATGTCACATCCCCCAGTCCCCCATTCGAAACTCACATCGAAGACCATCACCAGGTCCATCACCAGGTCCACCTCTACTACTTGTTCTTCGTCCAAATCGCTACCCGTTCACATCTTCCATCACCAGATCATGAACATCCTGTTCATGAACAGAGAACATCCTGAGATATCTTATACCAAATGTGATGATCATCAGGATCTCAGGATCCAGATTAGGCCTCTCAGGATCACAGCTTCGGCCTCTGATCCATCCCATCCTCCAACCGAGAGGCCCCACATCCTCCAGCGTCGAGCCGTCCGCCGCCAAGGACGTGAATTCCCAATGCATCTGCTCACACCTGGCGGTCGCGAGCGTCTGCGCGGGGGCGCTTGGCGGTGACCGGTGTGGCGGGTTCAGAGGGATCAGGAGAGCACCGAGGGTGTTGGAGTTGGAGTTTGTTGCGAAATCGATGAGACCAGTTCTGGTGGTCTAAAGATTGGAACATGGACATGGAAACATATGGAAACTATGGACATGGGCACTTAAAGTTTACGAAACTTAAAACAGTGCAGCAACTCATAGACTATCAATATTATTCCTAACATTTCCAAACGACTATGTTGCCAGCTATAAGTAAATCCCCACATGGCTTCCTAACACGTAACTATTCCCTCAGCAAATGACTTAGAGCTATCCCCATCCAAAAGAGGCAGTTCTCCGCAGGTGGGCTCACTCGGGCCAGTGGCCAGGCACGCCGTGTTGACTGTGTGATGCCCTGTCAAAGCACGATTTGACAGCCCGGAACCCAGCTATGTTTTGACATGAAGAGAGATGAAGAGAGCATATTTTGGGTGGTTGGTACTCTGAGTCTGATGTGCTCTGAACCAAGGGTCAAAAAGTTGTATTTTGAGCCACAGCCATTCCAGGTACAACCGGGAAGCGACATCACATCAACTGTTTCTGGATGATGTAGCTTCCCGAAATCGAATAGATGTTTCTCTGAAGGCTTCACATCATGGTCACATGAATCCGGCCGTTTTTTCCGTTTCGGGTTTCGGCACCATGTCGTTCACATCCCATGCCGTCGGACGTGCATCGATCCATGTCTTGCCATCTACGTCGGATCCCATGGACCTCCTGGAGAGTTGCATGCGCACGGGTTGATCTCCAGCATCTACGTCCAAGTACCTGCTTCGAAAGTACGGCTTAGCGTTGACCCAAAGGAATGTGGAGCAACATGACACCAGTCATGCACAACTCCCTCAAGGATGGTGTTGCTTCCTGAAAGATCCTGCAAGCACAACACCCACATGCTCACATATTCCTAAACCCTGCCAACTACAGAACATACTACCATAAAAACTGTGTTCGTCCTCCCCCCCCAGAAAGAAAAAAAACACAACACACACACACAAATTGACGCTTGAAGCACCTCTCAACAGTAGAATTCAACAGAAGACAACACAAGTAATGATCGGTCCAGGACCCAGGATGAAAAATAAAACTCTCCATGGGGTGGAAATGGGTGGAAAAAACCGCCTGTCCTTCGGATCAAAATTCGATCCCCGTTCCGGCGAGCTCCGTTCCGAGCTGCGCAACACCGCATCGGTTCGAGTCAGGTTGAGTCATGGAGCCACAGAAGTCGTGCGCTTCCGACTGCTTCCTGGTCAACAAAAGCTACGCAGCTACTGTAATGGGGTTGATTTGCCTTACTCACAGAAGAGGCAGGCCTTGACTCATAGATGTAGCCATCATTTTGACTTGCCGACGGGAGCCTTGAAGTCATTCTCCTACTCACCTGCAGTCTGCATCGGCATTCTGCCCCACAAAACAGCCATTGACTCCGCTTCTTCGTCCAACCTCTTCCCACCTCCCAGCGCCCTCCCAGACCCTTTTGGGCGCCGTTCGTTGTCCAAAGTGCTGTCACCCAGCAGAACCACGTGGGTTTTGACCTCCAAGTTCACCAGCTCCCTGTCCGCCTGGACTGCAAGGCGGTCGGCGGTCGGGACACACTCCACAGCGGACACGACGACGAAGGGACTGGAGAGTCAGTGAGAGACTCCTACGACACTTACGAGATCCTACGAGCCTTCAAAGCACCCCAATTTGAGGCGAACATGACAAACGGTATAGCATGGTATAGCCAATCATGTTGGGCCATGCCTGGACCCCCAAGGGTGGTTAGTGGACACCCCGAATGACCTCTCAGGGGCTATGAATGGACACCCTTTCCGTGGTGCTGGTGGAGTGTTTGGATTTGCTGCCCCAGTGACTGGATCATTCGTGCCTGGCCGAGGCACAAGCAGCAAATGACCTGCTGACAGGACTTGAGATGCTAGATTGTGTGAGCGAGTAACCTGAAATAGCACCCTGGCTCAGACTCTGACCTCCTTCCGGGCTTGTCTGTCATGATTTGTACCTTGAGACTTCCCCCTGATCCCCAATCCGACCAATCTCCAAAGCCGCCTTCGGCACTGCCTCCTTCACCAGAACTGCCTGAGGTCGCTGCGAATCTCAAACCGTGCGCAATCGCGTTTTGGTCAGTGTCTGAGGCTCGGGCCATGCTGGTGGGCCCCGTGCTGCGAGGGTGGAGCCCAGCCTCCTGATCCAGCAGCTGAACGCGTTGGAAGATCGGCCGGGAGACTTTTCTTATCTTTTCTCCAAGAGACTGGGATCAGTGTTAATGTTGGGTCCTGATTAGTAAATAGGTCCTCTATAATGCTAAATTTTCCAAATTTATTCAGACCCCCCTGTTTGAAAAATGGTACCTCTATAATGCTAAATCTTTTTTGGGCCCTAAATTTTAAATTGGAAACCCAATTAATAAGGGTTTGAATTCCTTCTGAGGCCAATGATTATGATTATTTATGATTCATTAAATTAGCTGATATAGCTTTCTCTAGGTTTCTTCAAACCTGACAGCTGACCAAAACCCACCAATTCCCCAATTAAACCCTTTATAAAAAATTGCTCCTAACCAAATTTTCAAGGTAGTAGACCAGGAAGGCACCTGATCCTCAATAATAAATTTGCTTTTGGGTCCTCAATTGTGAAAAGTTTTTTCCACTGGAAAAAATGCGCATGGAATCTTCCTTTACTTAGGAAGCCATGGAAGCTGAGGAAGAAGCTGAAAGCTTGGGGCTTCTCTTGAGCTGAAGATCTGAGGCTGCAAAGCAAAAGGATTGCTGAGAACAATTACAAAGCACCTGAGAAAGGAAGCTTAATACAATCTATGAAAGGAAAATGAATACTACAATCAATTACACAAGATCCCTCACCAGGAATCCAGATTTGTTTTGGTGATAGTTTATTATAGAGGATCCCCTGTTTGTTTGAGGGGAGGGGGGGGGGCCCTTTACTAATCAGGCGCCAACATTATCACAAGCAGGTTTGGGGTGAAGATGGATGTCATGGTTTCCCAAGGATGGTTTATAGGTTCATAGGCTCATAGGGTGCTTTATGAACTGTGTGAGAATTAGCTAAAGGAAAACGCATTTCGGATATGTTCCACCAACCCTGTGTGAACAATAGTCAAACGGTAATCTTTTGTGAGGACGGTTTCAGTGAAATTGGCTGAGTTGAAGCACCCATATGATGGACCAACGAAAAAGGCAGGAGCAGTTGGCGATGCTGGAGCTCTGAACATGCAGCACATCACCTCGTTTCTGGTAAAGCTCTGAACACGCCCGTCTCTTGCTAGGTTGGAACACATCAGCCAGGGGACACGTGTCCATGAAAGAGAGATCTCTAAAGGGATGTCCTACCCCTAGTGACATTAAAACATACCTGGAACTTCAAACGAGCACAAATAAGTGCTCTACCTATGGTTTCTGGTTGTCGAGCACTTTTTAGTAAAACGAGCAGATTTTGAGGAAACGAGCGGTTTCTTAAACCTTGAGCATCTGCGAGCCATTTTTGCTCTTGGGAGCGCCCACCCGTGAACGAGAAGTGCCCCCAATGTACGTCCCAAGCTTTCTGGGCCCTCCCAGGTTCTGTGTGTGCTGCAGGTACACGCATGGAGCATCCCGATCTCTCCTGGAGTCAAGGCGTGATTGGGGAAAGGGCCGTTTATTTCGATGCTTGTGGAGCACACTGCCTGCATTAGTGCGGGTTTTGGCACAAGCGCCTTTAGCTGATCATGATGGATCCAACCGTGGTTAGTTCCGTGGTTGAAGCATGGAAGGCGGACCAGCATCTGTGCGACCTCGCTGCTACCGGAGGGATTGCCAAGGTTTCCGATCGTAGGACGATTGGGAGATTAGAAGTGACCAAGAATGTGAAGCTATTAACCCCAGTGGTGCAATACATGGGAACTTTGTTTGCATTATTAATGTAACCGTTTTCTTGCGTTAGCTGAGATCAACTGGGTGACTTGAGACATCATGCATGGAGTCTTATGGAATCTTAGGACTCCGTCCTTCAGTGGCTCTTCTCACAGAAGCTTGCACACTATTTCTGAACCACTGCTGGCCTAGAGGGCGAAAATTTCCAAAACGTGTGGAACTTGGTTGTTCAATGTCATGAATTTGTAGCAACACATATCGATAATAATCAGCTTTCTTCCGGGGGGGGCGGTGAGGGATGTTTTGAAAAGTGCTCAGGTCAAAACATCAAGCTAGAAGCTTGGATCATCCGCACCTTGACATACACCTTCAGCCGGGCGGCATCTCGAGGACACCGCCCAAGGGAACCAGAATTCTTTATCCTCATGTCTGCTGCAGGGATACCTATTCCGGACAGGTCTGCATCTAGCACATCGGCTCCTATTATGTATGTTTGATCTTCTTGACTCTCTGCATGCTGATTTTTCTTGCCCCAAGCCCTTGAAACAACATGGGGTCAAAACGATTGCTGCCATCCGTGGCCATAAGGTTCTTCTTTGGCTTCTGCTACTGCCCCTGAAGATGCTGAAGCTGAATCGGCAGGTGAAGAGAACTCTGAAAGCGAAGATCCTGAACACGACCCGGAAGTTGAAGTTGAGGACTATCATTAATGTTCCTCCTAAATGCGTAATGCGTTGAAAAGGCCCAAGAATGTCCAAGAGGTTCAAGATGTTTGACCCAAATTCAGTTTTTTTTTCCTGGAGGAAGCGGTGGTGGCCATCAACGACCCAACCAGCGGCAGCCCGTGCAAGTCTCCTTCAACCAAAGAGCCTCACGAAGATGGCCCGAAGCCTGGCCGCTCAGCTCGATAAGACACCCATGGTTTCTGGTGAGGTGTGTGTATGTCACATCCTGTTTTAATGATATGTCCGTTGCGCATAGTATAGAGTGCAAGTGCGCATACCTGCAGGTCTTGGGTACATGGCGCCCGCTCAAGCAGAGGTTGATCCGCTATCCTTCATGGACTTGCCTGGGAAGCCTTGGGAGCACCACATATTGAAGCATGACCGCGAAGACCCAACCAAAGCATTCCGGTGTGAAAAGTGTGGCAAGGTTTTGGGAGATGTTTCGGAGCTTCGCAAGTTGCAAGGCAAGGTTCCTGTGCCTACAGAACAAGAGCTGCAGCCAAGGCCAGTTGCAACTCCTGTGAGGGATGGCGGCTCTAAGACCCCTGCGTCCAGCTCGCTTGATGAGCAACTAGCTGTCCAACTTCAGGTTCAAGAAGAAGAGGCCGAGCTTGTGCGTCTTGAAGCTGACATGCAAGAGCTGAAGGCGCTGGAGATGGAAGAGCAAAGTCTCAACCTGCTTTTGGCTGAGCTGGAGGAAGAGGAAAAGGAACTTGAAAACTTGACCTTGGAGTTTTCAAGGCTGGAGTGCAATGCCAAACCTTCGAACCCGGCGCCTGTGCCGTTTGGAACGGACAACATGGAGACTTTCCCAATGCCAGAGCATTTCATTCCAGTAAAAGCCGAGGTGACAGAGGGGGGGTGATGCATTTGATGCTGATCTGTGGTCGATAGCAGAGCCCGAAGGACATGTCTACCCACCTGATCCTCTCGCCAAGAATCCATATTGCCTGAAAGTGGTGTCGTATGCCGCTTGGGGTCCCAGGTCCGAAGATCCATCCAAAAGCCCTCCTGAGATTAAGAAGGCTCCAGTTCAGGAGAACTCCATGCAGTCCAAGGTGATGAAGGAGGAGGTGACAAGTGTGGAGTCTGAAAAGAAAGGGTCTTCGCTTGAGGAAAAGCCTGAGGAAGCTTCACGTGAGGAGAAGAACATGTCTCAAGGTGAGTCTGGCCTCGGAAATGAAAACGGCAGGAACGATGATCGTCCTGCAATCCTTGACACTGTGGAGCCCATCACTCCAAAGCAGCAAAGAGAATCATTTCCCAAGAGGAAGCGCAACAAGAACAAGGATCAGGATGATGAGGAAGACGAGGACGAGGAAGATGAAGAAAATGAAGAAGATGAAGCCAGCAAGGAAAGTGGTTCCAAGAAGAAGGACGCAAGAAAGAAGAACAAGGAGGAAGGAAAGCCGGCAGGAGGTCGCAGGCGCAAGAAGAAGGAGGAAGAAGACCAGGAAGAGGATGAGAAGGAAAAGGCAAAGCCTAAGCCGGCAGGAGGTCGCAAGGGACAAAAGAAGAAGGAAGACCAGGAAAAGGATGAGAAGGAGGAGGAGGAGGTAAAGCTGGCAGGAGGTCAGAAGCGCAAGAGGAAAGAGGAAAACGAGGAGGAAA